TGAACTTCTTAAGGACAAAGTAAGAATCAAAGGTATAAATGATACGGATACGTATAGCGAAACAATAGGCTCTATCTACTTACAATTTTTATTAAGCGATGAAACTTACGAGCACAAATTTTTATGTCATTAACGATAGCATAAACCTTAATTACGACGGTATTATTGGTACAGATTTTCTTAAATATTTTATAGATTATAGCTCTAAAATAATGACTCTTTGCGGTCACCAAGTTCCTATTATATTTCATCAGCCGACTTACACCGTTTCAGCACGCTCAGAAGCAGTCATTGAATGCGCTATATGAAACTACTCGCTCGAGACTTATAAGAATAATGAAGCCTTATTTCTAGATCACACCTTAAGCAAGGGTATTTACGTCGCGAATTGTATAGTATCAGTAAAAGAAAATAAAAAGGTTAACATCACTGTTTTAAATACGACTGATACAGACATAGAAATTAAAGATTATTCCGTAGAATTAACACCTATTGATTACAATAATTCTATTTCCTGGGAAAATTCAATATCTAGTTAATCTTTGTATTCCATTTCGACTTCCAAATCTGATCGAATAAATCGAGTATTGAGTCTTTTACGCTGCTCTCATCTCAACGATGAAGAAAACCTACCTAACTACCTTGTTTAATACAAGTTAATTTCTAATTTTACTATTTCGTTCAAAATACTTTTAATTTTAGATTTTAATAATTCATTTTTGTATAATTTTATTCCTTAATTTTAAATTGATTATTTTTTTGAATTTTACTCTGTCTCTTTTGTATAACTTAGTTAGTTAACGAATAATACTATTGTATCTTTATGTAAAATTTAGTCCGAAAGTTTTTATATTGTTATGAGATTGATTTGCAATATTTTACTACAATTCTTAATTTTCTATCTTCATATTTTGTAATGTCTTCCGACCTCTAATCGCTTTTCTATATCGAATCTTCGCTTTATCTTAATTTAGAAAAAGCTCAGTCAAAAAGGGGGAGCTGTTATATCGCTTTTTACAAGGCAATAAAATATTAGTAAGCATTTATTTAATCACACGGTACTTTTCCTTAATATAGCTATAGTCAGCAATTATATTGTTATATTGTTCCTTTCCATGTTTAATGATCAGTTAGACTCAAAGCCCCGGGTAGATCGGACATAGATTCCTAGACGTATTAGAGTTCGGAAGTCAGGGACTATATTAATTTGGGTGTGTGAACTTTTGTAATAAACCTTTAGTTTTATTTGGTGTTTCTTTTTAAAAAAGTCAAACGGGATCGGCCTCCTAACAGATCGTTCTGCTGTTCTCTAACCTTCATGCTATTTTTGCACCAGATTAAATTTTACAGAATAGCCGAAGAAAGACTGAAATATACCAACTTGCATAAGGAAAAATAAAATACTGATTTTCAAAATATGTTTTATTCAGCCCTTGTCACAATAACTGTTAGAATTGTATTTTAACATTCTATTTGAGAGACTAAAATTGATACAACCTCCTTCATCTTTTACACCTTGCTTTGTTTTAAAAATTGCAAGTACATTATTGTTTTTAAATCTGTTTCTTTGTTCCGTTTTTATAAAATTTATCTGTGAAAATATGCGCTCGCTTGCAGCACTTGATACTGGTATACATAACAAAGATTTATTGAAACTACAGATATTCTTGTATTTTAATGTACCACCACTGTTAGAAATTTTCCCAACTTCCACCCAAAATTGTTCACAAGAAAGGAGTGACCCAGTACTCGAAGATTGTAACAAATTACTTATTTCGCGATCAAGTTTAAGTGTTCTATATTCTTCGTCAATTAACTGCATTTGTTCTGGCTGTACTTTGTATGGGAAAGTTTCTATTATATGCACAATTCTTTATTTACGGCAGTGTTGGGGTCAAGAAATTTCAGTTCTCGGAAAATTTGATTTTCAAAAGGCAAACGTGATTTCAATTGAGTGCTCAGCTCAATTAAAAAAGATTGGTACCTTTTAAAAAAATCAGCAATTTGTTCTTTCATGTTTATGTTTCTCCTGTGTTTAATTAATTCTTGACAAGTGGGATGCCTTTGACTGACTGACTTTGACTTTAAGTCTAATGTAAATACATTGTTAATGCTTTTTATATAACTTGTTTTCGTAAAGCAACCCAAAATCGACAAGTACATACTGGATGCATAATCATATAATCTTTCAATGCACGGATATTCATCTTGAAAAATTAAGTTAAATTTATTTACAATCGGCAAAATGTAGTATAAAATGTAAAAGTACAATTTGTTTATATCATTAGTAAAAGAATGATACAAAAATTTTGATGACATAATGCGATCACCCAAATGTTGGCCTTGAAAGAATAACTGCAGTGCCCTCCATTGCTCAATTTTTTACAAGATAAGGGAAAAAACGAGCACACAGTCCACCTGATGGTAAGTGGTTTACCACTAAAACCTGCGGTCCACCACTGTACGTTTCAAGAGGAGTTTTCTTCCGCGTACAACCTCTCTGTGGAATAGTTTACCACCAGCGATTTTTCCGGACCGATACGACCTGGGGACCTTCAAGAAAAGAGCGTACTCCTTTCTAAAGGGCTGGCAACGCACCTGCAATTCCCCTGGTGATGCGGTTGATCATGGGCGGCGGTATTCACTTAACATCAGGTGAGCCGCATGCTCGTTTGCCCCCTCTTCTGTAAAAAAAATCCTTTAGCGGCGCTTCAAATTGGCACAGTCATTTTGTATGGTATAGCCAGTCCAGCGTACTTGTATATATAGAGGTCAGTGTGTCTGTACTACTAAGAAATTCAGGACTTCATAGGCGTGATTTTACTGACAGCTGTCGCAGAGATCAAGCTATCTTTATGAACCATAGAAGTGACACTGCATTTATTTCCGCTGTACCATCCAATTGCGGCGTTAGCGCCACACTTTACTCAGTTACCCGCTAGGCGTTAATGAGTGGACACGTGTTGATTAATTATGTAAGAAAATTCTCGATAAAATATGCCTTGGTGTGTTTTTAGATATTGCACAAATAATTCAAGTAATGTTAGCAAATACCAAGGAATAACTTTTTATCAGTTCATATGATACTTAATCAATAAAAAAGTGTATTATGGATTAATAATAAAACAAATTGTTTCTAAGACGCCATCTCGTGTCATGGAATATAGATTATGAAATGAATTTGTTCAGATGCGACATTTCTGTGGGTACTTAAATATAAGACGAATATATTATTATGCACATTTTTTGTAGAAACATATATAAGTTATCAAAATTAGGCAAAATTTTTCATAATTAAATCTGATTATTATTATATTATTTTATTTTAAGGTTTCTATTAGCAAATATAATATACAAAATAAATGATAAAATTTAAAAATTTTACTTGATATAATTTACCTATTTAACAATACAATCTATTATTACTTACTGATCATTCTACCTATGTTTATTCTATGATAAAAAACCAGCCGCGCGAACACAGTACTAGATCTATGAAACACAGAGTAGCGCACATTTTTTGTATGAAATAGCTGTTCTAATAGGTACGCAAGTACATACTACTTCAATGGGTTTAATTACCAATTTTTATTTAGCTACATAATTTTAGGTACAGATAGACCTGTACAGCCCATGCGTCAATCCTACGCTTAAAGCGGTTCCTTTAAAATCAAAAAGTTTTAAAGAAATTTAAAACATATTATACCGCTAAAAAAGAAAGTGTAATTTAATTTATGTTTATCATTTTTTATCACTATTAAGAGATTTTTTTGTTTTTTAATTAGTAATAAAGTACGTATACAGTAATATTTCTCATTAACGTGGAAGGTGTGTTCCTGTTAAAAATATTTAGAAATATAAGGATTTTCTACAATTTTATAACGTTTATTACTTTTAATTAATACGTAATTAATTAAGTATTAATTAAAAGTTAATAAAAAGTTTGTGTGATGACTCATTGTTGTCTACACAGTAAAGGAAAATGCTCCAGAAATGAAGTAAAAATATATTTCGAAATGAAAGTCGAAACTACCAGTTTTTTTTATAGCTTTGGGTGACAAACTAGCACACAGTCCACCTGATGGTAAGTGGGTGCTGTAGCCCATAAACATCCACATTTATCCTAAATTAAGGAACAAACTGCAAATGCGTTGTCACCTCTGAGTAACAAGACCACCATACGAAACACAGCAGCATTACGCTGCTATTTTACGCTGGTATTCTGTGAGAGTGTGGTCTTGCTACGGTCGAAAAATATTTTAGTGAAAAATCCACTAAGTTAGCAACATTAGACAACAATAAGGCCAGCAACACACTACATACCAAATACGATTCCGAAACGACGGGTCGACCACACTCATACGGAGTCACGTTTTGCCCACAAAATTCCGTACGGAAAACTACCGTAGGTGCACGATCGGTCATTGATTTTTTATGAACTTACTGCGTTCGGAATCCCGAATCGGATTTCCAAAACGGAATCCTGAAACGAAATACTGTATGTATGCCCGCCATAGTATCCGCATTATATGACATCATCAGCATGTACGTCCTTCAACCTACCTACCGCATTTTATAAAATGCGGCGCGTACGATGCGGCTGTAATGTGTGAGGTACGTGTATGCGTGCTGTCAAATGTGCGTTTAGCTTTTTCGTTTCGTTTTCGTACTTTGGTTATGTTTGGATGCGTTATGTACTCAGGTTTATTGATAAGATATGATATATTTATAACATAACGTTATAAGTTATGCTTTGATATCATCCTACAGTGAACATTCTTATGGTATTATTTCCGCCAAGCAGAAGTGCGAAACCGAAGAATCGAGTTGTCAGTTTTTATATACATTTTTTATAAAAAAGGCATACAACAAATGAATTCCTGTAGAATATAAACTATTCTTCCCGGTTATTGTTAAAATTCATTTAAGATTTTAAGCCTACGAGGTTAAAATACTTGGCTAACCTACGTTTGGTGTTCCATAAGTTTCAAAGTGCAATCATGGATTCTAAAGTTGTTTTAAAGGGTCAAAATCCCCATGATAAATCTAATATGTTTTCGAAAATATTTTTATGGTAAGTAAAATAATACTCATTATTATATAAATATCTGTTAGTTTTTATTAATATCAACGAAAAATTGAGTTTAATTGTGTTAGGATTTCGCATAAGTGCAGGTAATTGAATTAATTTAAGAAAAAAAGACTACATTAACTTTTATATCGGGTTGTTCCTTATAAGCGATCACTGAAAACTGGAAATAAACAAAAAGTATACTAGAAAAAATAATATCGTGTTACAATATTATATAATTAAAAATAAACAATTATAGGCTACGACTAGGTTCATCCCAGCCTGAGCTAACTTTTTTGTGCACAAACACAGATACTTTTATACTAGGTACAAGGGTTTAAATTAATAAGGCATTGGCAGTTTGCACAGAACATCCCCTATTTTTTCGTGTGTAGGGATTAAATTGTTTCTTTTATTTATATGGAGCCACCCTGGAGATTTTAATTATGCTTTTTTATTAAAAGATTTATCATTTCAATAAAAAAGCATAATTAAAATCGAATAAAAAAGTGTAACATAGGTATCTATTTAAATATAAAAAAGAAAGAAAAAATAACAGTTCAATTGGGGATCTCTTGCTAATTTTGGGCTGGTACACATATTTGGAATTGCGTTTTTCCCGCAAGATTTCGAACGGAAAAACGATGGGTCCCTGATTTTATATGGACTTGCTGCGTTCAGAATCCCGAAACGGAATTCCGAATGTATGTGGCCAGGCTTAAAGTTGGCTAAAAACTTTACCGGCACTTCTAAACCCGCAACCCGAACATACGGAATTCCGTTTCAAAAAACTGTTTTGGAATATCGATTCAATTCTGAACGCAGAAAGTTAATATAAAGTCAACAACTCGTCACACACGTACGTAATTACGTACGTGTGTGACGAGTGGAAGATAATGGGTGCTAAGATTGCAATATAGTCAATATTATGTAAAAATATGTATCTAACCAGAGATTTTTTTAAATATCGATGTCTATAAACTCCTTCGACTAATTATTAAACTAAATAAGATGACATGTTAAGAAAAAGAGAAACACATAATAAGATTTCATGTAAAAATAGGTCGTTTGGCGCACACTGAGCCCGTTCCGTTTCCGTAGGGAATTTAACTTTTTCCGTGCGGGATTCCGGATGCACAAGCAGTCATGCGGAATTTTGATTCGGAGAAAATTTCGAACGGAAAATATTAATATTTTATATTAATATAAAATATTAATATTTTCCGGAATTTTGATTCGAAATTTCGAACGCGAAAATTTAATATTTAATATTACATACGTAATTAATATTTTCCGTTCGAAATTTTCTCCGAATCAAAATTCCGCATGACTGCTTGTGCATCCGGAATCCCGCACGGAAAAAGTTAAATTCCCTACGGAAACGGAACGGGCTCAGTGTGCGCCAAACGACCTATTTTTACATGAAATCTTATTATGTGTTTCTCTTTTCTTAACATGTCATCTTATTTAGTTTAATAATTAGTCGAAGGAGTTTATAGACATCGATATTTAAAAAAATCTCTGGTTAGATACATATTTTTACATAATATTGACTATATTGCAATCTTAGCACCCATTATCTTCCAGTAACATTGATACAGCAACAATAGAATCGCAATCAGAAAATCGTCATCATTATTTGGTGGCCGTATGTTTAGACTCAATGGCTATGGCAATGGCAATGGCGTCTCTCAACTGAGATTTGTTATTCCGAAGGGTGAAGAACGTATGTTTGTGATGTATTTACGGAATCCCGAATCAGAATATCGAAACGGAATCCTGAATGTATGTGGCCGGCCTTATTTTGCCCTTTTAGTTTCACTCCGAATTCACTCCGGACCTTTTGCAGTGCGCCTATCTATTTAATATAAAATTTATTAACTTGTCCACACCTACTGGTTTGAGAGTTTGTAATTTTCTTTTTTATCATTAAATCTATATATTATCTTGTGATTATGATGTGATTTGGGGCATGTCCTGTGAATTGACGATTAACACTGCTTCAGGTTCCGTTTAATAATTCGCAGCATTGTCTGAGCGAAAACTTTTTCACGCGTTAAGGATAAATGTAGATAAACATTTATCCTCGATTAAGAATCAAAACAAAGGTGCGTTGTCATCCCTGAATACTAAGATGAAATGCGTAGTTTCCAGTAAAAAAGGGTCTCCGGATTTATACACTCACCATATTAAACACAGCAGTATTAAGCCGCTATAAAATCGCTCGTATTCTGTGAGAGATGTCCTTCCCCGGTCGAGACGATCCATTCGTACTACAACCATAATGTAGCTGCAGCGTGGCTCTACCACGTATAAAATCATTCCATATACCCATCTTTTATACAAAGATATTCTTTGAAAAATATCCTTGTATAGAGAATGAGAGAGCCTAGAGGCGATTAATGATTTCTTAAATTTACGCGAACACTACACATTGAATAAAACTATTATTTACGGATTTTATCGCGTTTAATTACTTTAATTTATTTTTATTATTATCCCGACGTTTCGGGTGCTTTACAGCGCCCATGGTCACGGGGGGGCTAAGATGTTTGACGTCCCAATGTCATAGTTAGTCCGGCTACCTTCAGTTTTTTAATATTAAATTTTGGTCCGATTTACGCAAAACGAGCTTATAGTATCATGAAGTCTTGCAGTGGTATGCTTGGGTTTGGGTTTAATTTTGTTAATTATAGGATCCCAAGCAGATGGTAGCACCCAACCATCTTCTCTATTGAAATTTCGATGTTTTTTTAATTTCAATAGCCTCGCGTATCATCCTTGGTAGGAATCGGTGTTCTTTTGCGAGAATTTGTGGTTTATCAAATCTAATGTAATGGTGGGGACGATCTTGAACATGTTCGCAGACTGCAGACTTCCCGGAGCGTCGGTGCTTCACATCAGCTATATGTTCCTTCACGCGGGTTTTTATAGATCTCTTTGTTTGACCTATGTAAGAGAGACCACATTCACAATCTAGCTTGTACACACCTGCATCTTGTAGAGGGATATTACATTTGATAGATGGTAAAAATTGACTAATCTTCTTCAGCGGCTTGTAGTATGTCTTAATGGACGCTCGCTTCAAGATGTAGCCAATCTTGTCCGTGACTCCTCTAACATATGGTAGTAGAGCAGGCGCGCGATCGACTGTGGCCGGCTTCACTCGTTCACTGTGACGTTGGCCCGGGACCCGAAGCTTGTTGTCTTGCAATACTTGCTTGACGTGCTGAAGCTCCGCGGCCAGATGTTTTCTGTCACAGATCCCTCGTGCTCTCTGAAACAAAGATTTACCCACGGTAGCTAACTGTGAAGGATGATGGTGAGATTCACCATTTAAATATCGGTTGGTATGGGTCTTTTTTCTATACACAGTGTGACCAATAGTGTTATCAGGATTTCGGATGACTAAAACATCTAGGAAAGCTAAAGAATTATTTGCCTCTAACTCCATTGTGAATTGTATTTTAGAGTTTATGGAGTTAAGGTGGTCTAAAAAATGCAGTTACTTTGTCAGATGGTAAAATTGTGAAAGTGTCATCTACGTACCGCTTGTAGAACCTTGGATTTACAGGAGCAGTAAGAAGGGCTTTCTCCTCAAAGTCCTCCATAAATATGTCGGCGACTATGGGAGACACAGGTGAGCCCATCGCCACACCATCTACTTGCTTGTAGAACTCTTACGGAACTGACCAGAACTCACGATTCTCCGCGCGGATAAAGGAAATGCTACGGTAGTAATGGACGCGTCGGAATATAATTTTAAAATACAACAACTTTTATCGGACGAAAGTACATATAAAAAGGTCAAAACAGACCCTACAACTAACACGCTTAAAACAACTAGCGATTTAATAAAGAAATACTCCGAAAAATTAAATCTCGACGTGAATTCGCTAATACCATCATGTGCCAAACCACCGAGGTTGTATGGGTTACCGAAGATACACAAACCAAACGCTCCACTACGTCCCATAGTGAGCCAGATCGATTCACCAACTTATAAGCTGGCACAATACTTAGCAAAAATACTATCACCACTAAGAGGACATACCAGAGCACACACAAAGGATTCATACCATTTTGTGAGTGAGATAAAAGACCTACATCTCGCTAACAATGAAACTATGGTCAGTTTTGATGTTCAGTCACTATTTACATGCCTACCTATTGTGGACTTCATCTCAATTGTAACTAGGAAGCTAGAAGAAAATAACATGCCTCAAGAATATGCAATACTACTTGAACATTGCCTCACATCTGGCTATCTATTGTGGAAGGAGGAGTTCTACAAGCAAGTAGATGGTGTGGCGATGGGCTCACCTGTGTCTCCCATAGTCGCCGACATATTCATGGAGGACTTTGAGGAGAAAGCCCTTCTTACTGCTCCTGTAAATCCAAGGTTCTACAAGCGGTACGTAGATGACACTTTCACAATTTTACCATCTGACAAAGTAACTGCATTTTTAGACCACCTTAACTCCATAAACTCTAAAATACAATTCACAATGGAGTTAGAGGCAAATAATTCTTTAGCTTTCCTAGATGTTTTAGTTATCCGAAATCCTGATAACACTATTGGTCACACTGTGTATAGGAAAAAGACCCATACCAACCGATATTTAAATGGTGAATCTCACCATCATCCTTCACAGTTAGCTACCGTGGGTAAATCTTTGTTTCAGAGAGCACGAGGGATCTGTGACAGAAAACATCTGGCCGCGGAGCTTCAGCACGTCAAGCAAGTATTGCAAGACAACAAGCTTCGGGTCCCGCGCCTACGTCACAGTGAACGAGTGAAGCCGGCCACAGTCGATCGCGCGCCTGCTCTACTACCATATGTTAGAGGAGTCACGGACAAGATTGGCTACATCTTGAAGCGAGCGTCCATTAAGACATACTACAAGCCGCTGAAGAAGATTAGTCAATTTTTACCATTTTTCAAATGTAATATCCCTCTACAAGATGCAGGTGTGTACAAGCTAGATTGTGAATGCGGTCTC